CTATTTTACTCTCCCTGCCGGCCCCTGGAGAATGGGCTCCCCCTTTGAGTCTGGTCCCTCCCAAGGTTTCTTCCTTCTAAGGAGTTTTTCCTTGCCACTGTCGCCTATGGCTTACTCACTGGGGGCTTTGGGTGGGGATGCTGTAAAGCGCTTTGAGACGATGTAATGTTGTGATAACGTGCTATACAAAAATAAATTTGTTTGTTGTTGTTTGTCAATCAAACAGCCACAAGCTCCTCAGTGGCCTCTCTGCTATACTGTCTGCTGCAAAATGATTCTTCTTGCTGTCATAATTAGCTTTTAAAAATAATTCCTTACTTCCTTACAGCTTAAGCACAAAAAAGTTATTTTTGGTTCGAACCCTGGGGCAAGGTGGCTCACTGGACAGCACTGCTGACTTACACCTCCGCGGCTGAAGGTTTGAATTTTGCCTCTGCTTTGTGTGTGTGGAGCTTGCTGTCTTCCTACGGTCCAAATACATGCAGGTAGGTTAAATGGTGTCTCTAAATAGTATGTGATGAAGGCCTTGTAATGAACTGGCAGCTCATCTAGGACGCACCCCAGCCTTTTGCCCTGTGTTGTCTGGGAAATGCTTCAAGTCCCCTTTGTAACCCTACTCAGATAAGCGGTGAGAAGATACATGGATGGCCTTTCAAACAATATATTAAAAATGAAAACGTATCATCTCTGTATCAACAGTAGAGCTTTCATTTGCAACATTCTGTGTTACAAAAATATACTACAGCTGTGTTTATATCTGACTTTATAACATTTTTACTGATCTTACTTTCTTGATCTTATAGGCTGTAGAAGAAAAAAAACAAGCAAAGAGAAACAATCTGGGCTAAACACAATGAAGAGAAATGAGCTAAACCTACAGTACACAATATTACAAAAAAAAAAAAAAACATGCATGATATCCTCACATTACCATCTGCATGTTGGCTTTCTAATGGTGTGAGAAAGAAATTAAACTAAATTCTAAGCATGATCAGTGACTCAGTGATCAGTGAATCAGTGACAAACACGAGCTTTCAATTTTAATTGGCTCATGTCATTTCTCATGCTCTCGTATTACCTCCATCTGATGAGAGCTGTTATAATGTTAGTCTTAGAAGAAGCATGCCATTCTATATTCCAATCTGGGCCTTGCTGGGCTGTGCACGGACAGGGAGACACAGCTTGTTTCACTATATCAAATGTACTGACTTATACATTAAAAGGACAAAACAATACATTGTAAAGCCTCAGGCTTTGCTTCTCTCAAATGATAAATCACTGAACAGGTGTACTTTGCTGTAGAACAGCACATGGCATAATATAAATAAAGCTAAAATGACCTTCACAGCAGGATCCAATTTTAAACAAAATTGTATTTCCCTTCAAAATACACACAGTCTCATTGGTGAGAAGGCAGCTTATTAGTTCCGCATCAACACTACAATTCAGTCTGCTTTCTCGCAGCTGGATGGACTACTCTGAAAGCAATCAAGCACAGAGAGAAGCACAGACTGCCGCCGCAGCAATCTTCTTCAGAATGGACAGGATACATAAAGATACAGTCCATAAACAGCAAAGACCAGTGGGCTATTTCCATCTCTTGACGTAGAGGGTCAAAATTCAGTTCTATCTATTTTGCTGTTTGATCCTTTGACTATTCTGTCCTTTTTGAGTTTTCAATGCTGCAGTCAATTTGCTTTGTGAAGAAAAGATACAAAAAAATGCATTCCCTACTAAATAGAAAAATGATCTCTGTTGACTAGTGAGTGCTTACATGACTTGGCTAAAATATCTGAAGTGACTGCATTATTACAGTTTAGTGCTGTTAAACAGACGGACACGAGAAACAGTGGTTCTGAATCCTGTAAAAAGCACATCTAAGTGTGATATTTAACATTAACTGCTTCAGTACCAGGCCACACAAGAAATAAAATGTTATTCTAGTAGAGGCAAGGATGATTGGTGGGTAAACACAAAAACTAGGGACAATGCAGACCTGGAAAAAAAAAAGACATAAAAAAAAGATCATGAAGTCAAATGAGGCACAACTAACACTGAGGAGAGAAACTGAGCAACATATAAAACTTTAAAAGATTAAAAGAAAAACTTCCAGAGAGAAACACCAGAAATGTCAACTGCAAAACTAAAAATATCCACATTTTTTCAGTTTCAATCCAATTTCGATACACAACTACCGAAACAGATACAGATTCCAGTACATGAGCTCTTTTTACTTTAATATTTTAACATACTAAATATATTTGTAATATTTGTAATATTCGTTGCGATAGCAGCCGCTCCTGTATCACAAGCTATAGCAAGTGTGCAGAACAGCCCAAGTTAGTGACTCCCAAATCATCTTTACTTTTTCATATTACTCACGTTGGCTCGCACAATAGCATGTGCTTTGTTTAGTTGGATTTTCCGGTAAACGCTACTGCCACCTCTCAAATCTTTGTTTTTACGAGGTTTGCAAATCACTGTGCTACTAGTGGTTGTTAAAAGCGTGAAATACTTCCTGATTGATACTCTCTTATCTGATATTTTTAGGCTTCTCCTACTACAAAGTGTATGCGCATGTTGTCACATCAGGCACAAGTCGCTGCGCTCGCACCCACTGAGTAGCAAAAAGATAGGCAGCCTTAGCATTAGCATTTAGCATGAATACCACAAAAAACACAAAATGGGAAAGAGATGTTGTGCAATTGATTCTACAAATAGATTTAACATGAAATACCTTTTTAGAGACTGCCAAAAACTTAATAAGTAAGTATCAGACGTGGGTTGGTCACATATGGCCAATACCCAATCTGTCAAATTGGTATTGGCACCAATCCAGACCTATCAGAACATCAGATCGGTGCTCCTCTTCTAAAAATCTAAATGGATGCAACATTAGCGTCATCATCATAAGTTCTGAAGTTTGTTCTTAGATGATCATAGACAAGTATTCATTAAAAATTACAATTTCTTTTACTACTGAGATGAATAATGATTTACATGTTGCATAAGTTTTTATAAGCTGAAGTAAAGTACCATCATACCAGACAAACATGGGTTTTACAAAAGAAAAAACTGTCAACAATGCCCAAACAATCTCTAAAACTGGTCTTTTTCGAAAGCTGCCCAGGTATGCAAAGACAAATGCCTAGCTTCCTTGGTGAGACTTGACCAGCTTGTAAAGACTATATTTGGCACTCCCCCCCCCCCATACCGAGAACTACGTCAATAATGATATCAGTACCTTCTGCTGAATGACATTTGACCAGTTGGAAAGAAAACAGATAGCACCGATGACTGGTGGTATGCTGGAAAAAAGGTTTTATTTTTCTTTCATCGCCAAACATCTTATCAGATTTGAGGTAGCTAAAATGCACTGAAACAAGCACAGTGAAGAGCTAACTTTACACTGTAATGGATCACAATGCAATGGGATTAACAGTGCCTTCCAGGAATACTCAAAACTGTAAGGAGACACTGGAGTAATAAGCGATATAACATTAGGATTTAGAGGTATGCTGAGTTCTACAGTTTTGGTACTGCACAGAAATCTCCTCCCCTGTAATAAGAAATATATAAATCTTTCATATATGTACCTGGCATATTTCCATAAATGTAACAGTACAGTGTAAGTGATACTTAGAAACAGAAACACCAAGAGGTATACAAAGTATAGTAACTAGCAGTACATGTTGGGATTCATGACTACTGCTGGTGACATCTCTACATTCAGTGAGGACAAATGCACTGCCTCCAGCTTCCAGTGATGTTTCAGATCCATTTACAGCTACGGGCTAAAAGATCTAAACCCCCAAAGGCCATTTGGCTCAGAACATCCCTCCCCAATTCACCCACAGAGCTGGAGTTTAACAATTATATAAGAGGATGACATTAACATATTTCTAAATACTTTGTTTCTTGGCCATCTTTATTTTCTGAAGGCACAGAAGCAATAAAAGCGATAAGATGAGAAAGAAAAGAAAAAAAACAGGAGACGTACCCAGTTCTTGCATGTGTAGGCACAGCGTGGGCAGCCCGGCCTATTACACAGACTCCCAGTAATATTGGCTAATTGCTGGATCTCTCCAGCTTCTCTCACGTCTCATCTTGAGTGGGCGTTCGAGGGTTTATTAGCGAGATACATTGCTGCTGACGATATCGTACGGCGTGTCTCTCTCTTTCGCCTGCTCTCCTACGTGCATTTCTGTAACCACCATTCCTGCGAGAGAGGTTTCCCCAGAATCGACGTCAAAGGATTCCTACCCACACCGGCCATTTGGGAGCATCTCAATCTCCAGCGCCCCTTCACTCACTCACTTATTGAAGGATCTGAACTGGAAAGACGTTTTTCTTTACTTTAACTATTTAGGGTACTTGTGGCTCTCTGGAATTAAATCAAACATCTGAAGAAGGTTAGAATGGCCATAGCTGGCAGTCCTCTCTCCTGGGAAAGTGATTAAAAAGGAAATCTTTCCTTATAGTAAATTCATTAAACTAAAAACATGTGGGCTTCCCCTTAAGGGCAGTAACTGAAAAAGAAGCAGTACTTAAACCACACAAATTTCCTCCTGACAAAGCATTTTAAAGTGACTTTAAGAGGAGCTCATGGTCGTTGATTGCCTGTAGTGGCCCTGTTACATGACTTTTGGTAAAAGGGAGTTACAGTCCTACCCTCCTGAAGAAAAACGAAACGTAAGACCAGCAGTCAACCAGGTATCGCTGGCCGTGGCCATAAATACGTATGTACAGAACAGATGATAAGGAGCTTTGACAGTCTTGAAAAGGTGAAGACTTCAGGGTATAGTAACAGATGATATGCCACTCAGCTGCTGATTAAAGAAAAAAACAAAGACAGATCTGTTTTTGCCTTCCAGATGGAATATATGTAACCATTATATATTTATATAAACGAAAGTGATGAAGTGTGAAGTTTTGGTTTTCTCTGAGGTTGGAGATCATTTTCATGAGTCATGTCATATAAAGCCAAAGGTTACACTTACTGATGTTCTGCTGACAGCCGTCGGGCCATTTCAAAGGCCAGGGGATCGCGATCCAGGGCGTAAACAGTCACATCAGGTACGGCATCCAAAATGGCCAGGGTGTGGCCTCCAGCACCGAACGTCATGTCCAGAAAGACCTTAAAAAGGGTCAAAGAGGATGAGATGTGTGTATTGGAGGACTCTATGAGTAAATTTTAAAGTTGGCAGAATATGGGACCAGTCTTTCTTCAAGTGGCTTCATGGTCTTTGCTTCCTGAACTGCGCTAGAAATGTTAAAGGTGCAGTAACGGTGCCGGCATTCCTCTCTAAACACAGTTTGCTCCTGATTTGTTGCCAGTAGCAGGAAACATTGAGTCATAAAAGTGAAAATGAGGGCATAGGAGTACTAAAACACCGTGTTCTCACAATCAGACTGACAGGGTCTGCTGCTACTGGATATCACATGTAATCTATGAGAGTGTCGATGTGTCGGGTCAGAAGGTACCTAAGGTTATTAGGGAACAAGATTTTCAACTAAAACACGGTAAGTTCAAGGATCTACCCTTAAATCCTCATAAGAGAAACCTGAATATGTACTTATGAGTAAAATATGCATCTATAAAACTGTAAGAAATGCAAGATGTTTTCATTAAACACATAGGCTACACAACCACAGTATAAATATCATAATGATTATTATTAATGATACAGCAAATTAAAACCAACCAGTTCCAGACAGTTATCACGATAGAGTATCCATAGACAGTACTCTTGGATAGAGAGGAAGAACCCAGACATGCTATGTACAAAAGGTCACATTTTGACTTGAGATACACCAAGTCCAAGAAATCATTTGATTGCTCGGTTATCCTGACTCCAACAGATCTTCAAACAACAGCTATATTGAAAGCAGAATGCTTCCTCTTGTCTAAGGATGCCACTGCAAGGAACAAGTGAAATGCCAGCAAACACACTGTTAGTGTACAGGTTCAGAGATGTAATAATAATAATAATACATTTTATTTAAAAGCGCCTTTCAAGACACTCAAGGACACTGTACACAACTGTATGTCCTGACGCAATAAAAACATTTGATTAACGTTCCTTTTGCTGAGATCTCTGGTGATCTGTAGTCGGACTGATGTCTCTTAGGCCCGATGGTCCAGCTTAAAAATGGCTGTTAGCTGTCAGTAAATCACACTGATGCAGAAAAGTCCAAATCAATTTCTAGAAGAGACAATGTTTACTGAAATTGAGACACACTGAGTGCCTAATATACATGCATTCTTACTGAACTGTGACAGCTGGTAACAGAAATGAACAAATTAAAATAAACATGCAGACCACGCATAATATGATCTATTTATTTGTTTTGGCAGAAAGATAACCATATACTTATTCGTTTGCCCATTTTGCCTTGCATTCTGCTAACAGAAGTATCCGTATGGTCTTCACCCAAAGCAACAGAAACTACGCAGACAGTCGCATATTTAAAGACTGGGAGTCACAGCCCCCTGCTTTGCATTGCATTCTTCATCTGCTAATCTCATACGCGGAGCACAGATGATTGCTCCTCGTATAACTTACAAACCGACAGGTTCCCCTTCAAATGATGATAAAAGTCAACCCCCCCACACCAGCACACATTGCTGAGACTGTCCTCTGTTCTCACCTAAAAGTCAATGCGTGAGTCATCGATGCTCCCCTTGAAAAATCTCTACTCATTTCCACAACCTGTGGTCTGAGTTACACCCCGGTGTCAATTCCCTTGCCGCCATACTCCCACACATGACACCCTGCATGTACCAAGAAATAAATACCACAGATCATGAAAGTGTGATTCCAAAACACTATACAAACACTCACAACTTGTTGCAATTATTTTGACAGAGAGGGAAGCAATTGTATTTCCTGGTGCTGATGACAGTAAGTATCCGGATTCTTGACTACATCTGTGGGTAGAAATTTAGAACAAATTACTCTTTGGCCTAAACTGATACACTGCCAAAAGAAAGAAAAATAATTAATAATTTCAAGCAACTTGATCAAGATGTTTTGACAATCTTGCCATGAAACACTCTTAAGGTCAATATTCCCCAGTAACGACAAGACCATATGACAAAAATTAGGGTAATTAATGTATTTTCCTTAATATGTCATTCTTGTTATTTTTTGGAGTCGTGACAACAAGGGGAGAAAATTGCCATGACATCCTGCTTTAATTTGATCCCACATCAGAGCCTGCAAACTTTTATTTCTCTACTCTCACCTCGCGGGAAATGTTCTGAGTGAGTGACTCACTTGCCTTTTTATTTGCGACTGTTAACCAAAAGTTTGTCTTCAACTTTCTTCTCTGACTTTTAAATCACAGAAAATGTCCCTATGTACCTTTACCCAGTCTACTGCCATTTGTAGGCAGCATACTACGGACATTGTTATACATACAGACACACATACACACAGATTTGCAATTATATCTTTGTGGGGACTCAACATTGGTTTCTATGGGGAAAACTAATCCCAACATGATGACCTTAATCCCTACCCAGCACTAACCTTAACCATAAGTAACCAAACAGAATACGAGACTTTTTTGACTGCATTCACAGCTCTTTGTGGGGACCTGAAAACGGTCCACACATCATAAAAAAACTGGTTTTTATTATATTGTAATATAATATAATATAATATAATATAAACCTAATCCACACCCACACACACACATACACACACGTTATACACAACCCTCATAACCACACTCTAGTGTATACTTTGATGTTCCATAGACCTCCTGGTAGACCCTAATGCTGCCCAAAACTAAGGATACTGTTGAGCGGTGAAGAGAACAGCCTGAAGACTCTTAACCCAGTAAATATGTTCTCTCATATGAGGGCAGTGCTGGTGGATCATAGTTGATCAGTGCAGCTGAGGTTGCTATGACAAAGATCCTTGTTATGGCTGCAGGGGTAACTGCATTGTTGAAGGCACTTTATACAGTTGGGGTGATGCGGCTAATGCACTCCTTAAATAGCTTCTGGAAGCATCCAGGATGGCAGACTAGAGGGGGCTGCCCTGCCACTGGTTGATGTTGATCCTTTTGGCCTCATCCGACCAGGACCTTCAGTGTTTGATGCTGAGTGTGTAGCAACAGTTATGAGAATCAGCAGCTCCAAATCCAAAGCCATGGTCCTCTCTTGGAAAAGATTACTGCCTTTCATGTGAGAGTTGGGAGCTTATTCCCAGCCTCTTATGTTAGAGGGGGTGTGGTATTGATAGGTTTTGTTGCCACAGTTTGGAGCAATGAGTCTGGAGACTGGAACAGACCTTGAAACACAGCCGCTGCTCCTTCGTATGGAGTGGAGTTAGCAGGCATTTCATAAGATCACCACCTGCTTGGTTTCAAAGGGAGCTGTTCCAGGCATATCCCACTGGGCAGATTCCCCATGGGATACCCAGGACATGCAAACGACATCATATCTCACAGCTGGGAATGCCTGGGGATTCCCCGAGAACTGTAGCGTGTGGGGTCTATATATGCCATATGTACACCATCAGCGTTACTCAGCCGTAATGCCACCCATAGTATATTACATAAATTATGATTATGTTTAAATGAAGCTAGTTATTGCTAATGGAGTTATATATATCCACTATATTCACAAAGGACAGTTGTGCAGCATCTGCTTTCCACAGAGGTGAAGTGTCTATGGCTTTCTGTTCCTAACTGGTTTGGCGGTTTGATATCTGCACTGATATCTGGGCCAAAGCCTAGTAGTGGCGTTCATAGCTTAAAGACTGCCAGAAGCGGAGACACAAGACAGAATGTAAACACCTCCCTGCCTCCCACCACAAAAATACTGCTCTTTACATGGACTCACTTGCACTGACAGAACAGATAGGTTATTGCTAGTGTAAGGCCCTTTAAAATGCACCTTTGGTGATCGCATCAAAAGTAGAGAGCCGAGATACATCGCCGTTTACACCTGTGTCTGTCACGCATCTCCAAGGTGTCCAGCTGACCACGTGTTCAGAGTTCTTTACTGCCCCACGCACAGTTATTGTGACATCCTTGTCTGGGATTCACCCAGGATGCATTAGTGTTTACGCTACAAAAGATACATGGTCAAATGCATCCCAGACTACCTCACCTAGTGGTTTAAGTGATTGGCTCAAACTGCATCTTGGCGGTTGTTTACTATTTAGAGCTGTCCGCTTGTGATCCAATCGCCCAGGACCAAATGTGAATAGGGCATATGCTTATTTATGTAATGAGTATGGTGCTCAGTGCTGCATGGTGTAAGTCTGTGCGTAAATTAGGATGTGTGCCTATTCAGAAATTAAACAAACACAACATCTTATATCCCAAGTTCAGAATGGTGAATCAGTCAAGGTCTAATCCTCTACAGGCCACAAAATTAACATCATTAATGATGACCATTGCTACTGTATTGTTTATAGCAAAGGTCATGTGAAATATCATTACTATTTAATACTAGTTTTAATAAACGGGCCAGTGTGCAAAGCCACAGCAATGGAATGAAATTTAAAATATGACAAGATGGCTGCTAGGTAGGGGTGAGGTTCTACAGACTGAGGATGAGTCAGCCTCCTAATGAACTCTCCTGTTGTGTCATTCAGTACAGCACAACAACAGCAGCCCTGTCGGCTGGTATTTGTGTGAAAGGGGTAAGAGCTGCTGTTCGGCCTCTGTCTGTTGCTGGAGTCACCTCTAGCCACCTCTGGTTCAACGGTTTAGTTCTACTTCCAGGCAAATAGGGAGGATTACTTTAGTTTAGTACAGTGTTTCTCAAACCGGTCCTCTGGGACCCACAGACAGTTCACATTTTTGCTTCCTCCCGGCACCTGAGTTTTCCCACCTGTGTACTGTCTTGCAGGGAGCTGGGAGGGAGCAAAAACATGGACTGTCTGTGAGTCCCCAAGGACCGGACTGGGCAACCCCGGTGTAGTATATTTCCTTGGTCTATGCTTGTCCACTGAAAATTCTCAGAGGCCCCTTTAAATACAGTGAATACTGAACAGACACTATGTCTCACCTACATTCCACCATCTAGTGTACCTGCGTACAAAGTATACGACAACCTATTAGAACATTCTGGAAGCAGATGGCTTCCCTGTCTACAGCTACCAGACAGCATCACACAGATACACAGAGTCATAGGGCAGTATCAGCTGCATTCATTAGGAGCTCATACACCTTCCAGATTTTTGTAAAGTGGCACTGGGTTGTACCATTGAAGGTTGGTTCCCATGGTCATGTCACATTCACACTATTGTTCTTTTAAAACAACCTTTAACACCATTCTGTTTAACTACAGTGATAATAATAAAGAAAAGTCCTTCAGAATTCTAATTATGTTTAGAGATTTAATATGAATAATGACCTCTATTCTGGAGCAAAGCTGTCAGTTTTCTTTCGCTTTTGTTTTTTTTGTTTTTTTTTTTTATTAGTTGAAAAAGTCATGTTTGATCATAAACTCCACATTTGACATGCTAAATCTTGGGGACACGAACAGCCACAAGATACCAATCCAGGCCCCATCCAAATGGGAAATTCTTGGTCTGGGCTGGCAAGTTGAGAAAGCATGAATGGATTTGTCAATGGGAATAGGGACAGATTAAAGGAAGAAAAATCCCACAAAAATGTCCAGATTTTCATTAAAACATGGATTAATTTGGCTTCCATACTTTCCTGTTTTGTCTTTGGTTATAATCATCTCATCAGCATTTAAATGTAGTAGCATATCCACTACTGAAATCTTGTTTGGTATAGAGTAAGCGTGTGGGTGATTACAGTCTCTTCCTCCAAACTCAACTCCCTCAGAGCAGAGGGTGACAGCGATGTGGGGGATATCTCAAATTTTTGAGACAATTGTAAAGCTAAAAAGGAAAAAAAGAACTTGCTTATGGCTTTTAAGAGAACATTCTGCTGCTGTGTTAACACCAGAGTAATTGACACTAATGCTCATTGCCCAGCACTGTGTGACGCATTCATTTTAAGTATAACAACTTCTGCTAAAATGCACAATGACAATACAGGTATTTCATGTCAGGTTTAAAGCCGAAATATTCACTTTTGTATGTTTATTTTTAAAACGTACTAATGTGGCAACATAAAATCTAAGATTCAAACAATACTTTGTTTGCTCCCAAAGAACAACAAACAAAATATTTCACAGTTTACGCTATTCAAAACGGTGCAAACCACGTAAATGAAAATGTGATAATTGAGAGAAAAAGCTTGCTCACTGCATGCAAGCAACAGTAGGCTTAATCATCAGACATGAATTCAGAAAAGGCCTGAAAATCACCACTTCAAAGTACAGAAGAACAGCAGGTCTCTTAAACCTTGTTTCCACTGGGAATAGTTTTCTTTTTTATTGTGTGTTTTTACATTAAACTAGGTTGCAGTCCTGGTTGTTAAGCATCTATTTTTAGAACTCACATAAAACATTAATGCTGTCCGTCTCACCTACACAGACAATCTTAACAGAGTGCTATCACTTTAAAATGCGGGCCCCTCCACACTGGAGAAGAACGCATGATCTCTCTCACGGATTCAGCTATGATGGCTGTACCATTTGCAATAGTGATTGACACTAAAGTCAAAGTGAGTCATCCACATTGATATTTCAATCCGAGCTCTCGCCAGGTTTGTCAAGACCAAGATCCAGATCGGAGAATAGAATTGCTGAGCTGACTGCCTGAATCTATAACTGTGACGAAAACTTCCAAGTTCTAGCACTTTTCCAGAGACTTCCTTGAGTGACTGCTTCCTCAGTCATTCCTGTGAACAATGAGATTCAACGTGTCCCATATGTAAAAAAGTTAACACAAAGAGTGCTCAAATATTTTTGGTTAAACCCTGGATGCAGATACGTAACGCTCAAATGTAGCAAATGTTATCATAATACCTGAAATCAAAATGTGACATTCTGTATCATCTGTCATGTTGTCTTCTTTTTCCTTCGCTTTTTGAAAATTTCCTTTTGGAAAATCCATTCAGATTTTGAAATTCTAAATATTATTTATGCGAAGCCGCAATAACTGCCTGTCCCAGCAGAGGGACCAAGAAAGTCAAAAGTGCAATTTCAGAAGACAGCTGGGTAAAAGGTTACTCCAGTGT